TTATGGATATAAACTTGGTACATGCCTCTATCACTGGTAAAAAAATCAGCACGTTTGCTCGAGCCGTAATGGAGATATTCGAATTTCTTATCGCACAGTTATTTATGAACCACCCTGTATAATTTTGATATTCAAACAATTTAGGATGATTGATTTGTATGATTCACTTTTTGAAGTACACATAACTCTCGGATTTAAATCCGAAGTTTCCGCATTTATTTATTTTAGGGTGTGGGTGTGGGTGTTCTTCTTTCGTTGATTTACATCCACACTCGCACTCACACCCAATCCACACCCACACTCATAAAAATTTTCGCAGAGTGATATACCCCGAAAATCCGTTTATCACTGAAAAATCAGTTTATCCGCTTATTCAACCCTGTCATAAACCCTTTTCTTGGTAAAAAACCCTAAAGGGTATTTCTCCCGTTGCAAACTGATATACCCCTGTACTGTTTTCTTGATTGATAAACCGTTTTTTCGTAGTTGAAACAGATATACCCTAAATTAATTGTAGATTATGTGCCATGAGGAACCCCACTTTTGCGGGTATATCTGTTTCAACTACGGAAAAACGGTTTATCAATAAAGAAAACAGTACAGGGGTATATCAGTTTGCAACGGGAGAAATACCCTTTAGGATTTTATACCAAGAAAAGGTTTATGACAGGGTTGAATAAGCGGATAAACTGATTTTTCAGTGATAAACGGATTTTCGGGGTATATCACTCTGCGAAAATTTCTATCAGTGCACACACCACACTCCACACCCACATTCACACTCAATCCATACCCACGCTCACACTCAATCCACACCCACGCTCACACCCAATCCACATCCACACCCCACATCCACACTCACACCCACATTTACTAATTCACTTATAGATACTTTTATTCATGAAGTCAAGTCTTTTCATATGCACTCTGTCGTAATTTTCCTCTAATCTAATATTCTACATAGATTATTTTATTGTTTCAAACAAGATATCTTCGAAATCCAAAGTCAGCATGTTTATTATATCCAAACAAGTGGTTCTGATTATACATATTTCCGTCAAATTATATCAAGATCTTTTTCATCGTTAAATTTTACATATTGAACGCTTTCATCTTTGAATCAATCTTGTTGAAAAAAGTGTTTCTTTATATAAGATTTTTCTCACTCCAGTGAATCAGAAGCTTTTGAAATAAATAAAAACAAGACAGAAAAGATAAGTACACATGTATGATAAGAGATACAAAGAGTCTCTATTTCTTATCTTGTCACTCCTCAGTCACTGTGACTGCTTTATATCTTTATTTTTGTTTTTTTATTGCAGCAATTATGGCTGTTAATCTTAGTCGACTACTAAGAATTCGAGTAAGCATAATGAAATCTATTGTCAACAAAAGCTTGTCAGCGCAATCCCTGTTGGATTAAAATGTGAAACCCAAAGTATCCGTTCACTCTTACAATACTGATATGTTTCTTTTATTGTTTTTGTGAAATAAGATCTAAAAGAGAAATGTTGAAGTTTAAGGCTAGAAATTTGGACTCACCTCCCGCCCTCACAGACCATGACCGACAGGCCCCGGGATACCGTCACAGATAGACTCCGAGACCCGGTCACAGACGGTGATTGACGGACTCCTGGATCTCGTCACAGATCACAATCGACAGGCTAAGGCTACGTCACAGAGCGCGAGTGACAGCCTAGGGTAGCGTCACAGGTTTTAGTCGACATGCCAGAGCAGCATCATACACCGTAATCCACATGATAGTATCTTCTCATTTACAATACAAGCTAGCGGCTAGATCGTGTTTCACATTTTAATCCCACAGGGATTGCGTTGAAGCTTTTTAAACGAATTACTAGAATTTTTTGTATTAGCAAACAAAAAGAATATTACATAAACATACTCCCCACTCCCCCCCCCCTCATTATAGAGTTTGGCAACTTTGTGAAAATAAAAATTTCTGTTCGAAATTTAGATATAAAAATGTAACATTTTCTAATAATCGATTATGTTTAGAAAAGAACTATTATCTTTTGGAGATTTTAAATATTTGGTATTGTGCCATTAGTATGATGAAACCAAAGGAGATATGTGAGTTCCACATTTTAGCCTCAGAGGGGCTGCGCTAACAAGCTTTTTTTCGTTTATTCTTCTGTATCGATATTGCCAAGATATTTCTTTATCAGCAAGATAGAGACCATTGAGTACAATGCCTGTTACGTCTGGCGGGGTGCGAGTGGGGAATCCAAATTTCTGCCCTTAAACTTCAACACTTTCTTTCAATTCGTGTTTAACAAAAGAAGAAAAATAGATAATGTCTCGTTTTTGTCTTGATAATACAAATCAATTACCATCTAACTATTATTATAGATATATCGACAATGTCTCGAACATCTATTATTCTATCATGTATTTTAATCACTATATTTTTAATAAATTTTTCATTCGCAAGTTTATTATTAATTGATCGTAAAAATCCATGTCGCGCTTATGGGAATGCTTCAGTATATGATATTTCAAATCTTGTTAAAACATGGCCTATTACTCTTGATGGACCTGGTTTTGGTGGTGAATATATTTATTATTGGAGTTGTGCTGGTAGAACAGGAATATGTGAAGATACGGATGCTGCTGTATGTCAACAAAGAACAACTGAACTTGTACCACGATGGAATGCCGGTAATGTTTCTCCACAATTATGGTTTGGTTTATTTAATGGTCCTGAAGTTCATGTAATGAAAAGTTTCTTCTTTTCAATTCAATAAAACTTCATTTCTATTCTATAGCCCGATCTTACATGGGATATAGTATATCCAAATTATCAATCAGATCCACAACTTATTTATGGTACTGGTATTCGAGTTACAGTAATACATTTTATAGTCTGGCATGTGAACGCTATGTTACAAAAAAGTAGGAATAGGGAGGATTTTCATTGACAATTTTTAGGAGGATCTGGCATGGAAAAGGAGGAAAAAAGGAGGATTTCTGTTTTCTCGTGAAAAAAGAAATTCTAGCCTAATTCAAGCTCATCAGTACTTTGAAAAGAGTAATAAAACATTTAATACAATTTCAAGAAATATTTATTTATAAATTTCAAATAA